TCAATGTCACAAAAATCCTGGCATCGGTTTTCTCCAAAAACATAAATGCGTTTCTGGACTCGACATACTAATGTCTGGACAGACAATTCCACTTTCTGGTTCGATAAATTTGTGTGAGGTTAAAATGGAACAATTATGTCGCTGGAATTGCAAAGGCTGCTTCTCAAAGGCATGAAACACTGTTCCAAATCAGAAAACTGTGCACACCTCAGCAACTTTTGATGCTTCATAAAGCTCAGATCAGACCTTCTTTGGAGTATTGTTCTCATGGATGGAGCTTCGTCCCTAAGCATACCCTGAAGCTGCTGGATTGGCACATATGATTTTACCAAGAGAGGTCTAGTTCAAGTAAACGATATAGTGCCCCCTACCTTTCAGCAGATCCCCTTTAATGAAATGGTTAGGGAGCTAACTAATTTTGTTATTCAATAATCATTCCTTTTCAGCAATACTCTCAAGGGCACACACTTTTTCAACTGTTTTTGTCTGTAAAACTTCAAGTAGTTGGTTTTTGGTATAGTTATCTTCAAAATACAAATTGTTATCCTTTAAAAAACTTTGTATTTCATCTTTCCTCGAATTTTTATTCGGTACTTTGATAAGCTGTTGCGAATGATAAGAAGCGTTGTCAAGAACTATTACACTATTCGCATCCAAATTTGAGATCAATGTGTTTTCAAACCATTCCTCAAAAATATTAGCTTCCATGTTCTTATGATAGTCAACATTGCAGTCCTCAAGTTTTTTTTCACATAATTTCAAATAATTCGGAAGCAATCCTTTACTTCCTCCGCAATGCACAACTATTACTTGTATTTTATAGTTTGAATAATATCAATAGTGCTTTCTCAGTAACCGATAAGACTACAAAAAAATTAACATTTATTAGTATCGTTTGTAGGTAAAGTAGGCTAAAAAAAAGGTAAATTTTTTTCAAAGCGGGTTCCAGCGTGACGGAGCTTGATTAGTCGCGATCCTTTGTTTGCAGGCATGTTAGGCGTACACATTCTCGAACCATCAGTCCACCCTTTCGTAACTGTGTCGTGAGTGTCATACCAAGTTTCGTCCTAATAGAAAATTTGCCGTTGTTCTTGTCTATATTTAGTTATTTGTTCTAAGTATTTGTTACGCAATTCCACTATTCTTCTGCTTACCATAACTGCTTGACGTTTGTTTATTATTTCAAATCTAAATCCTGCTTTCTTTATCCAATTGTGAAGAGTTTTGAAATGAATTTCGGTCAAATCTGATGTTGCTTGTTATAGTTTTTTTTTTCTCTCGAAACCAAACTTGATATGTAGATTTTTATATACATTGAAACATACTCTCTGTGTTTCAATATTCAAATGCATCCGAATCTTATTCATTGGTCATTTTTTTTCGCATTGTTCACCAGCGCTATTGAAATCACTACACAGGAAAAAGTCTGCGTTGTTATCACACTTGTTATTACTATTAATGCTCGTCCAAGGACGCTACATTTTAAACAAATAACAAAATTTTTAAGTAATTATAACTTCACCAATATCGAATTTCAACACTCAAATCGAGATCAGTTCCTGAACTGAACATTGACAACACGACTCTTCTAACCATCTTCACATTCTATTGGTTACCGTAACATGACTTAAAATTTAATTTTATGACTTTTCAGACAATCATAAAACTCGATTAGTAAAAATTATCCAATACGAACCGCCAATTCTTCAGTCCACGTGGACTAATTCGTAGCGGCATTATTCGTTTGTATTGGTTTTTTTGGCCTTTGAGTTCGCCGAAGCTTCAAGATTACTATATCCGTTACTTCGACTATACATATCATCAATACGCGATGAACTGTGGCTGCTCATCGTTTTCAGGTTCATTTCAGTACAGCTCGAACTACACTGCTTAAGAACTATCTCATTTGAAGAATTGCGTTTAATGGAATAAACTTCCTGATAGTGTTTTTGGCTTTAAAAACCAAACAATGTGTCTTGCTGCTGTTTTGACTTTTTTACACTTCCATAAATTGTAAGTTTAATCTGTGGGAAAATTTCTAGTGAGCTGGATTTTGTTAATGTGTAGGATAAAAAAAGCTAACAAAGGACAAAACTGACAAAAGTAATTTTTTCGCGAATATTTCGCGTTCTATTGTTCGGTGGTCAAAAAAAGTTTCTTTTATGAAATTGTTCTTTGCCAGATTATTCATAAAAAAATGTCTCTTGCATTTTTTGTACGACCAACCATTTTTGGAGTAGATCGCAAAAAAAGCGACCACTTCAAGAGTATGCACTCGTTTTCCATTACCTCTTACATTCATAATTGCTGATAAGACACCGAGTGGAGTCATTTCCATGTTTAAATCTCCATCTTCTTCATTTTTATCATTATTTGATTCCCCGCTTGAAAATGACTTGTCATGGCAAGTTTTAAAGCATCTCAATCCAATTTTTTGCATCCACTTTTGACGCCACACTTGTACATTTTCAAAAGTTTGTTTTGAGTAGATCACTGAAGGTAATAAAGTTGTTACTGGCTGTGGTATGTTATTTTTTAGCTCCCAACCCCACTGTTGTGAATCAGTTTATCTTCCTAACCGGGTTTGACATTGATTGTTTCCTTCAACCCGATAAAGTGTTGAAATAACTGAAGGCTGGGTCACCAAACCAGCGATAAAACTGACAGCTATGAAATTGACATCTAGGTGTAATTATTCTTACAATTTCAATCACTGTCACAGTCCTTATCGAATTGAACCAAAGGTATAATATATTCGAATATGATTGTGACTAATTCGAATCGAAAAATTATTCTGAATAGTAGCAATTTCATTGAAATCGAAAAGAATGTGCTACATACAGTTAATGCATCTATCCGCGTCAAGTAAGTCGGGTGACTCGGGTGCCGGCTCTGTAGTCTCATGTCAACTCGCCATAGATTTCAACAATGAAGTCCTATTATTGAAAAATACGAGTTCAGTCAATCACGTATTGTGTTTATATTCCAACATTGTGTCTTTAACAATCGTACTACATGTTCTTGTTGAAATATCTCGTCATTCAGGTAATAAAATTCATTCCATTAGTAAATTGATATTTTGTTCTTATATCCATGCATTCAGGTGAGGATGCTTAAAACAATAATCTTCCACTTGTCACAGTGGTCATGTGAGAAGGTTCTGCTAGTCGAGGCTACTTACCGAAGCCCGGACACATTCAGGGGGGCGCGCCAGTGCCCCGTGGGGTGATCATCGGGTCCAAGAATCATGAGCTCTACGCAGACGCAATGAGATTCCAGAGTGGACAGGGCGTCATTCTAATAAGGACTTCAATAATCAGTACATTCATAATAATCGAGTAATCTGGATAGAGTGTGCAAGATTCAAAGATAAAATCTCGATATTTCAACCGCTTTTTGTCCTCTTTTCGGATGATATTCGGAGTCTTCATAGAAGACCCCAAGATTTGGCTTTTCTTTGTGTTGCCACGGGAGTGAATTAATCTCTGCGGCTTTTTTGTGGACCTTTTGCTGAAAGGTTTGATCGCCTCGTTCAGTGTCGAAAACTAAAAAGAGTTCATCAGCCGCTCGGACACCTGCCAAAGATAAATTCTTCAATTCCTATTCTATTATGGTAGTGGACCTTGAAGAAAAGGGGATCCGAATTCCTGTACCATTCTGCCATGTACTGTCATCATTAATATTATCATCATTATTTATTCCGAAACAAGTGTTTTTTTGTCGTTGCACCAAATCCTTGAGCAGCAAAAGCAGAGTCTGCATCAGAAGAGGTAACAAATTCCCCTACGTGAGTCTGCAAATGCTTACGCACAAACGGTAATTTACCCAAACTAGAGGCAAAACCCTACATGAATCATCAGATGAAAATTACTTACCGATGGTCGATGTGGTCTGTGAGAGAACCTCAATATCGACCACACAAGTTTCTACAGTATACTATTTTGGCTATAAGAGTATACTCCAGAAGATGGCCAACAGGTTTCCACATCCCGACCTGGATGTCTACAGCTTACCTAAGAGGATCAGAGGAGCGTTTCCTTGCTGGTGGGTTCTGTTAGCATTCTGCAGCCGTGAGAGGGTTCATCACAGAAGTGACCAAACCGCACATTTATGTTGCTTACTGCAGAAGACCCCCTTCTGGTTCGTACAGGTAATCTGTATCCATCCAGGCTGGAGTGGACAGGTCTGGAACCATACATGTGGACCATCTTCTGGAATATTCTCCATGGCAGCCACAATGGCATACTAACATATTCCAGTTGATTGGTTGATATATTCTGCAAGTCAGCTGTAAATGACGATACATTAGATTCGACCATGCAGGGCTTATCCGCTTCTTGTTTGGGTGATTTTATAGTTTGAGCGTTTTGTTTGCTCTCCAGATTCTGCTTCTGTCGCTTGAGAATTTGGTGTAGATTCAGAAGGTCCTGCTATAGAAAAAGGGATAACTCGTTTCCTGGCTGCACCACCTAGCTTCCTGGGTTTATTGATAGGATCAGAAGTGAGAAGCTCTTACATACTGAGGGCAGTTGGGGTTGTTTTGTCGACATATATCTCCTCTGTAGACACAAGGTCGGATTCTTTGGTCACTTACTTCATGGATCACTTCAGATTGAGACCGTCATTAGGAGGAGTCTTACATTTACTGGTATCACGGCACCCAAAACATATAACAATATACCTAGGTTATTTGGTAACGTGCACCATTATTAGTCCTGTCTTTTGTGGGACTTCCTAATTCAGTCGCTTAAGAAGTTTGAAGTGCTTTAAACATCATATGATATTAGTGTAGCATCTGAGAAACTGCAACTTCGACAAAACCTTGCCATTCCTGATTTTGAAGGCTTTATTGACCTTATGAGTTGAGGTACTCTTAAAAACATATTCATAAACCTATTTCTTGGAATTCACCTTTGAAATTTTGAGGTTGTTGTCACTTTTGACTAGACACATTATAGTCTAGATCCCAATTCATACATTCATTGATATTAATGACAATGTTAGTTTCATAATATATTACCAACCGGCTACAGGAAAACATAAGTAATTTTGAATTACACTGACATGCAGAGAAACTTTTCCAGCTTTTTATGAGTTTCCTTCACTCTGATCTCCTGTTGGATCCTGGCTAGGTCCAAAGGACTCAACTTGATATCTGAAAAGCTAGATGGTACATCCTTTTTGATTTTCCCAATAGAAATTGGACTATTTTTAGCGAGGTACCTTTTTTCGTACCTCTCTTGTGTGTAAATTTCACGATTTATCAACACGTTTAATCTCAACCTGCTGTCAGTTTTGAGGGGGTTTTCAGGAGGCAGAACACTAGACTTTTTCACCCTCGGGGTTTTTGGAGGCGGTAAAGGTGTTCTCCATTTCTCTTTGCAGGCGGGACATAGGATTTTTTTGACGCGAAATTTCAGGCTATCCTGGCTAATGGCAGATTTTTTTATTTTACTGCTAGAACTCGGTTTGATGGAAACTTTCATCTCGACTAGGTTTTCATCTGTTGGGTTGTTTTCTACAGAATTTGATTGGCTGATGGGAGACGGAGAAACCTTGGATTTTAGCAGAATGGTGGCTGACCTATCAAGAACGGAAAATTTAAACTTACAGAAACGTCAATTTATATTCAAGTATATTTCTGTTCATATTACATTAGTTATTCAGGTGGCGTTTGATATTTCAGATACAAAAGTCTTCTATTTCAAATTATCTGAACAACTCCTCTCAATAAATTCGGTTAGATTACAGTGAACTTATTGTTATAGATATATATTTATAGTTGAAAAAAAAGATTTGTGTTATGGTAAGTCTACGTGGGAAAAATTGCTTATGGATTATTGGTTAGCATGATGTTGAAACTGTTATACAACTCTAACATATTTGGGAAAGTTTTTGGCTTTCTCTTACTACATCCTGATCAAAGAAAATGTGGGAATCTTACAAAATAAAGGAAGCATGCAATAAATTTCAAAAGAAGAAAATCTATATACAGCGTGACTCACGGTCGATGGTAGGTTAGATGTTTCTGGAAAACGCAAAGCATGATTTTTCTGTAAATTTCACCTCTCACATTTCCTTACCTGTTCTATCGACCTAAAATATTTTCAGCATTGCGGCGTTGCCACTTCTATCAAAAAGTCCTAGCAATTATATTTTTTTAAATGAGACACCTCGTATATTAATACATTTTGGGAATCGCTCTAGTATTCTAATACTTTTTTGTTAATAATGTCCTATACCTATCTCTATCTGTTTTCGAAATAAAAAATTAATTGTGCTAAATATGGTCCAAAACATAGCCTTAATTGAAATTAAGTACATCAGTACTCTCAATTCATGAAAAGTTGATATTTTGATGATAGTTTGGACAAACTCGAAATATTCAAATAACACCAAGAAATCGACTTCATATCATACAGGGCGTGCTAAAATTACTATTATTTCCATTGTGCATAAAAGTAGTCAAAAGTTCATTTTTTCAACTGGAACCCCCTGTATATTACTCGGTAAATTGAAAGATGGTGAAAAATGCTTCAAGATGATATATCATGTCCCTATACCTAAATCGTCAAGTTTTCTTAATAAAGCCGTTTTTGTGGAAAAATAGTTATTCACGTTTTACCTACAAGTGTTGAAAGTGACATTTTATTTTGTGAGTGGGGATTATTGCAAAACGAGCGTCAGCAAGTGGAGCAAACTCACGAGCAAAATAAAATCACTTTTAACAAATGTATCATATAATTTTTTTTGTATAACGTTACTGCTGATAATAAAAAAAATTATAGGGTCCATGGGATTTGAACACACGATCTTTGGATTACAAGGCATATGTTACAACTACATACGCCAACTCACGTTATTTTAAGGAGGATTATTGGTTAGTCATGAAGGACTTTCTTTTTAAAGAATTTGATTTCTAGGTAGCCGTGGAAATATCAAGCTTATGACAGTTTGGTGACTTTTATAAGTAATTGATAAATGGTTATTGACGGTGTTTCAAAAAATCGCCAAAAATGAATGCAAATATTGATTATTCAAACGAAGTTCTTATGAAATTATTTATTATACACAGACAGTGTGATCAAATCATTGCCAGAACTTGTAGAAAATTCAACCAAATGTATCCTTAATAAACACCAATGCACGAGAGGAAGTTTGTAAGATTACAAAATAATTTCCTTAACTATGGCTCCATGTTAAAAGCGCCTTCAACATTACCAAAACATGTTACTTTAAATGAGGACAATACTGTTAATGTTTTGGCATATTTTTAGGCATATCCAGAAGCTTCCATTCGCAGTGCAGAAAAAGATTTAGGTGTATCACATGCTTCAGTACCACGAATTTTGAAAAATCACGGAATGCAACCGTATAAATTTACCGAAGTTCAAGCTCTAAAAGCAGAAGACTTCGAACGTAGAATGCATTTTTGTGAATCCCTTTTGATTTATACACAAGAAGATCGGGAATTTTTGTCAAAAATAATTTGGAGCGACGAATCAAAATTTACGAGGGATGGTATTTTCAATAAAAGGAATAAACATTTTTGGGCTGATCATAATCCTCATGTTACAAAAGAAATGGGTTTTCAAGAAAAATTTGACCTGAATGTTTTCTGTATTCTGAAGAACAATAAAATTAGCTTTTTTATTTGTGAAGACACACTGAATGTAGAGAGATATCTCCAAATATTAAGGACACTTGTAACCGATTTTCTTGAAAATTTGCCTTTAGAGGAATATAGGAATTCGTGGAATTCAACTGGACGGAGCGCCAGCTCATTCCACCCAGGAAGTTTACAGGAAACTTGACGAACTCTTCGACGATCGTTGGTCTAGGCGTTTAGGGCCGTGGGATTGGCCACCGAGATCACCCGATCTCACGCCACTTGACTTTTTTATGGGGTGTTTTAAAAGAAAGGGTATACAGTACTCCAGTGCCTACCAAAGAAGAATTGCGACGGCGAATAGTGCGGAGTATTGAAGATCTGGATCCCCAGGAAATTGAAAAAGCAACCACAAGTCGCATACAAAAAACATTTTAAAGTGTTTAGAATGTAATGGACAACATTTTCAGCATTTATTGTGATAATGTGATATTTTGTTTACAATTTTGTTATTTTGAATCATCCTATTCTGTTATTGTCTGTACTTTTACATGTTTTAGCCCACAAAATCTTACTTTTTACCTAGAAATGACTGATTTTTGGTACAGTTGTTCCCTGGAAACTTTGAGCCATAGTTGAGAAAATTATTTTGTAACCTTACAAACTTCCTCTCGTTCATTGGTGTTAATTCAGGATACATTTGGTTGAACTTTTCACACGTTCTGATAATGATTTGATCACTTTGTTCATGTGTATAATAAATAATTTCATAAGAACTTCGTTTGAATAATCGATATTTGCATTCATTTTGGAAGATGATTCGAAACACCGTCGATAACTCTTTGTAAATTACTTATAAAAGTAACCGAACTGCTATAAGCTTGATAATTCTACTGCTACCTAAATCCAAATTCTAAAAAAAATAATGTTTCTAGAAGAAGCGACTTTATTGAGAAAACTTGACGATTTAGGTATAGGGACATGATATATCATCTTGAAGCATTTTTCACCATCTTTCAATTTACCGAGTAATATACAGGGGGTTTTATTTGAAAAAATGAACTTTTGACTACTTTTATGCACAATGGAAATAATAGTAATTTTAGCACGCCCTGTATGATATGGAGTCGATTTCTTGGTGTTATTTGAATATTTCGAGTTTGTCCAAACTATCATCAAAATATCAACTTTTCATGATTTGAGAGTACTGATGTACTTAATTTCAATTAAGGCTATGTTTTGGACCATATTTAGCACAATTTATTTTTTATCTCGAAAACAGATACAGATAGGTATAGGATATTATTAACAAAAAAGTATTAAAATACCAGAGCGATTCCGAAAATGTATTAATATACGGGGTGTTCCATTTGAAAAAATAAAGTTGCTAGGACTTTTTGATGGAAGTGGCAACGCCGCAATGCTGAAAATATTTTTGATCGATAGAACAGGCAAGGAAATGTGAGAGGTGAAATTTACAGAAAAATCATGCTTTGCGTTTTCCAGAAACCATAGACCGTGAGTCACGCTGTATAGATGTGTAGTAGAACATAGTCACAGTAATTAATATAAAGGCACCTAAAGAATGTTTTGTCCGATCTTTTTTTTAGACTGATCTCTAGATCTATCTATCACCATGAAATACTCCAGTTTCAAATGTCTGATGCAAAACTAGAACCACTTGAAGGGAAAAAAGGTGCAAATCAAAGGTGCAACGATAAGTGGTTGTTTAAATACATGGAAAATGCAAGATTAGGCAATGGCAACTGACCTTTTACCAATATTTCCTTCTGTTTCGTCCTCATCGTATTCAATTTTCTTGACATTTGGAGCCTCTCTTATATTTTTGGCAATGAAGTTGGTAAGCGTCCGACCCCGATGCCGTTGCTTTTTTGAAAATTGCTTCTCGTTAGTATCATTCCCTTCAGGGCCAGGCGAACCTCTTGGACCGCTTGCCATAGTTATTGGCCTAATTCTTTCGCTACTCGAACGCATCTCTTGAGGTTCTAGGATAGTAGTGAAGTCTTCCGAACCCTCTATCATGGGTTTTCTCGTGGGTATTTGTAAAACGTTTTGCCTTATATTATTTATCAGGCTCTCCAGATTATTTCCTGCCATTGAACGGAAATTGAGGTCTCTCGTCTTAATTTTGAAGGGCGGAGTCAGCAGGAAAGATTCGCTATTGTTGATGATTGGCTGGGTTTGTAAGAAAGTCATGAATTCCTGGATGTCCTTCCTTGCCAGTATGGTTCTTATAGCGCTTGGATCATGTGCGATACGCACCAGCTGTCGAAGTTTGTCTTTGTTGGAAGTTTCTAAAGCTTTGATCACCGTTCCAATAAGCTGCCTGATGTTTTCGTTGATCAGGATCCTTGCAGCTAGCCTTCCATCGTTTATCACTGGAGGAATGGAGTTCTCTCCCATGGCGCCAAGGTGCACCATCTCCACGGTGTACAGGGGTAGCAAGTTGGATAACTTCTCGTTGTTAGCATACCCGCTCCTAGACTTCTCCAGGATCCTCTCCGTAGGGGAATGCTCTTTGCACAAGTAGGAGAGCCTTTTCTTCGGAGGCATCAGGGTTTCCGCTCGATGCGCCGATATCACATGTAGGCACAGCACCTTCCCGGCGTCGACTTCGCCGTTGGTGAACACCAGGTCGTGGAGGTCCATGAAGGAATCACTTTTCTTTTGGAATGTTTCGTGACTTCCGTCACCTACTTCTCTGGATTTGGGCTTCGAGAATATGAGCATTTTGGAGCACTTGGTTCGGAACCGTCTTTTTTCCAAGTCCAGGTTTCGCATCGCGTTCTGCTTTTCCCGCTCGATCCTCTGGAGTTCTGTTTGCAGTTGGGTCCTTTCAGCGCGGTTTCTGATTTTCGCGTGAGCCGTTTGATCGCGCGGCATTTTCATGGAATTTTTCGTCTCTACTGACACTCGTCATCTTGATCAACTCCTGTCAAATAGATAACATGATGACGTTTGTGACACTGGTCACTGCCAGCCTTCAGCGGTAAATATTCTTTACAAAAAATTATCGGGGAGTGAGAAAGATGACATTTGAACTTATTTTGAAACGAATAAACCTCCTTTTTTATCCAGTCGGTCCAAAGTCACTCATCGTATTGTAACAAATTAAAGAATTAACTGTCTTAAACAAATGTATTTCCAACAATATTTCACTAATCACAAACTAATTTATCTATTATAACACTAAGCAACTAACGCCTAATTTATTTTCACTATTTGAATTTCTTGTTTAGCCGCTCGATTCAGTTTCTGAACTCCCTCTTGGGTCGAGAAGCCGGGCTTATATAATGTAACGGTCGTTTCTAGAAATCTGTAGTTGGTTCTGTACTCGACTAGAGTTTTAATGCGGTTGCAGTCTTTCGCGGTGATGTCATGTGTTTTTTCGCTGAGTCGGCCGGTATATCGATCAGGGACGACTTCAGAGTCGTTAGAGTATGTAAAATTGGCTTTAATAGGACTCAGCTGTTAGCCAATAACATAAATTGGCTTTTTTGAAATAAGGGAAGGAAATTTTTTTATTGGACAAAAGACGCCACTAAATACTGATTTTTAATTTTTATATTCCACGACCGAGCTTCTTTTTTTTTAAGAACAATAAGTCCAAAAAGTTTAAAATGTTCAAATGCAGTATACCATACTTTGTTTAATAAAAAATACAGTTGATAAAATAAATTAGAGAAAGCGGTCCTCATATAACTCTTCTAAACTATAATAATAATTCAAGTGATTAATCACTTAAAAAAGCTAATGTTTAGCGAAACATGTTGTGATATATTTTTTCAATAAAGTTTGTGGAGACCAAATCGTGAGTTGTAGTTTGTGAAATTACTATGGATCTTCATCAAGTAACGGCCAAATCAGTCAGAAAACATATAGAGTCTTTGACTGATATGTCGTGATATTATATTCGTGATATGTCGATAAATGGTGCAAGAATTGAATCCCGTAATATAGTTGCATTTAAAACGACCATTTTCATGTACCTTGGTGATCCTCAGTCTTCCATATTATTTTCTGTTCTGTGATCGAACTGTCATATAGTTTGACAGTTTTATAATGTAATAAACTCTACAGTAACATCACCGTCATCACCATCATCATCATCCAACCATCATCCCAATAAGGCATCGCCGCAATAACTCCATGGTAAAATCATCCAGATCATCTAGAAGCTCATCGCTGGAATTTTCTGAACAGAACTTGAAAAGAAAACGTTCTTTCCGACAAACTACATCTTGCAGGGCATACGAAACTCCGAATTTCATCGCAAAAAACATCAGAACAGCTTCCCAAGTTAAAAAAATCGAATACGATTCCGAAGAAAACGAAATTTCATCGTTGAGGTCGAGTGTTGATTCGTGGAGGAATTCCAGATTTGGGAATTCAAGGATTAAGTCAAACGGAAAGCTCTCTGTAGATTTGGATTACAGTCGTGGCAATGTGGTGGCACTTCAGGAAAAGCCTTTGGTGAATAATTCACCCAAAACAAGTTTAAGGTTTCCAGAAACGCAAAGAGAAAATTTCAGGTAATTGCTGACACCTGCTTGAGTTCAAAGTTGTAGAGACACCCAAAATGTAACTTACTACAGACATATCTTCATTATTTCTGGCACACTAATGCTATTTTCTTGCCATATTTTGCAGATTTTGATTCTCATGTATAGGGATCCATTCGAGTTTTATAGTATGTGTAATTAGGAAGAATCATCGATTGATTTCTGGTTGATTATGAATGTACGAGTGTGACCACTGGATGTGATAGAACCTCCATTTTTATTAATAAGAAGTAAAACTGTATGTATCTGCAGAGTGACTATTTCATGATTTGCGGCATGATTCTCTACATGCAAGACCAATTGTTGTCTGTATTATATGATAAAGAAGGAATTTGAATCAACAGAAGAACCCCAAAACTTGAATACCAAATTGCAAAAATCTGTGGAAGTAGGCATAATACACCGTCTTTATTACTTCCTGGTTTTTTTTTCATTCTTTCAGTTCTGTTGGCAAATATAGATCTGCTCAATTTTGTGCCCAATTAAGAAATATGATCTGACTAGGGGAGACCATAGTCAATGGTGAGTCAGTAGATGAACAAAGAGACTTCTGGCCCAAAATCCCATGTATTTTCTTATGGAGCTAAACTTTTTGCAATTTTTGGTTCAAACAAGAGTGGGGGAAACGTGTGACGTTATCGACGCAAAATTCGACGCAACGACGCAAAATTTTTGAAGTGTTTGAGGTGTTCATTGATTCAGCATTAACAATCATTTCAGAACTTTGGTTTGTTCAATAAGGATGGAAAAATATGCTCTGCGTTTTAGATACACTATGAAGAAATTAATTTGATCTGAACCTGCTTGTTATACCATTCATTATTCTTTGTGATAAATGAATTGGTTATTGAACTTCTGAATCATGGACAATTAAACTGGTATAGACATGAAATTTGTTAAAATCATTAACCAGCTGTAGCCTCACTAAGAACGACAACCCTCAGAAGTCGTGATTTGTGCGTACTAGGGATTAGGTTAGGCTAGGTCAAAAGTGAGTGGACCTCTACCGCAACCTGCAAGGGTTTAGTGTCGCTTACACCTATTCAAACTCGACCAAATAAACCTAGTTCTTAACGAATCCAATAAGTTTATATAGTAAGTGATCTTTCAGGTCAGATGGTAAGAGTACGGTACTGCCGAACTCCCAATTCGGTCCCCAGAGGGGCAGGCATAAAGTATATACTCTGCTGTCTCATCATTTTCCAAACAGAGGCGACACACACTGTCTATCGACAGTCCGAGTCTCTGCATAATATGATGATTCAGAGGACAGTGACCTGTGAGGAGGTCTGTTAGACATCGTAGTTCATTCCTTCTGTAGTCCAACAACTGTTTGATTTCCAGCTTCGAAGAGTGAATAAACGCCTTCGACTGAGCCAGTCCTGGAAGATTTTGCCAGAAGTCTTTGAATCTTTTTGCCATCCAAGTGTTCAATTTTTGTTTGGCAAAACCTTAAGCGATGCTAATGAGGTTCTGGTCAGATGAAGCTACTCCTTTTGAAAGGGAGTCAGCAACCTCATTGCCTTCCATGCCAGTGTTGCCAGGAAACAAGACTAGAGACAATCTGTTAAGTCTTTCTATTGAGGAGAGTCATTTTTGTCAATTTGCTACCAATTTAGACGTTACTCGATAGGTGCCAAGAGCTTCCAACGCCGCTTGACTGCCCGAGAAAATTTTTGTTGACTTGTGTATGAGGTTGGATTCTACCAATATCTCCGCACACAATTCAATTGCATAGATTTCCGCTTGAAATACAGTCGCATGTATTCCTAGGCAGGTTGGTATCTCTGTCCTGGGTCTGCAACTGAAAACACCTACACCAGAGCCTGAAGGGATTAATGAGGTCTTACATTTCAACTTGCGATTTCCGTCTCGGGTTCGAAGATACGCAGGGAAAATCGATCGTCCGGCCGTAGGACTTGAATCACCATTTCAGTGAGCGGTCGCCTAAATGAATAGAAGAAAGTACTTACGCCTTTCGCCAATTCAATCGACTAACACCTTTTATAATGAGGTATCACCTGAATATCTGTTTTAAAAAAATTGGGGGATGACAACCTCATTTGGAGTTTGGAAGGTTTTGCAATTATTCTGGAGCAAGACTTGTCACAGTTAAAAAAAATTGATGTGTTTTCGAAAAATGTTTTCCTTGCTGTAGGTTTTTGTATATGTTATATGAATATTTTTGTTAATTGTAAATTCTTCAATTTTGAAGCAATACCGTCATTACCGTCGTTTTTTATCGTTTTATCGTTTTTTTTAATATGTGTGTATATGTTTGTAAATATATGTGTTTGTATGTATATGATATTTTTCCTGCAAATGAAATTTTATTGACAAATGTATAGCTTATTATTAGCAAAATTTAAGCGCGCCATTCATTTATAAATGTTTTCTGTAAAATTATTTATTATACAAAAATTCACTCTGTCGAAGTATTAATTTTCTAGTCACAAACTTAACTCACTTTATTCTAAATAATATAATGTTATAATATTTATGTATTTTTCAGCTGTAAATATCACTATATGTGCGGTATTTCATATTTTCAACTCATCTAATTTCAGTATCCCGGATCGCTATCATTTAAAATGGCGTCGTTCTATAAAATAAATTGGTATCAGTAGCAAGCATTTCAACGTATTTTAGCTACTATGTTACTCCTATAAAACTGTTGAGAAACACTTAGTTCTGGGAGTGATGGAATTGCGGCAGAGTCGGACTACTTTTAAAGCTGACTATTTTATAATGGTTTTTTAATTTTATTTCATAAACGTTTCTATGACAAATTTATAAAACACTTTTATAAAACACTGTATTGTGTTCACCGATCATCTAATATAATCAATTAGCATTTTGGAAGTAATTATAAAATACTAATAAAATAAAACTGTTGCAACAACACTGGTTGGGGCTATACCTTTGTATATGCAAATATTAATTTGTATTTAAGCTTTGATTCCGTAATTTTATTCATAAGTGGCGTAATGTTTTTTGTATCATTGACCTACCATATATACGCTATGTATCACAAATGGTGAATAAATATTATTATTATTATGACCTTCATCAAATCAAATTGTGGTTCGACCACAGGCTATTATCTATTAACTTTGAGAAAACTTATTACGTACCATTCAGTACAACTCTCTACCACAATATGACATCAAAATCTCCAATACGGAAGTCATCAAACCCACAAAGAATATAAAATATCTTGGAATAATTTTAGACAGCAATCTCAGATGGAACCAGCACATAGACCACATAGTTGAAAAATTACGTTGCATACTTTACAAATTCAAACGGATATCAAACATACTCAATCAAAAACAAAAAATGTATATGTATATATGTTTAGTAGAGCCCCATCTGAGATATGGTATAATTCGTTGGGGTGGAGTGGCGAAAACTCATCTACATTCCCTTGAGGTTATGCAGAAGAGATGCAAAGGTTACGACTACCCTAGCGATCTACTTCATTTAGAATCTGGAATATTTGATCCCAGACAGCTGTTTATTATAAATATTACTGCTGTACCGTATAAAAACAAAAAAGAATTAACTACTTATCACCATAAATATGCCACACGTCGGAATCATAGTATCGTCATACCATCAATGCTCAAATCAGTTGGGCAGAAATCTTTCCGATATTTAGAACCGAAACTCTACAGTTTTCTTCCTGAAAGTTCAAGATGCGAATCAAATCTCAAAAAATTTAAGACGAAGATTAAATTATTTGTCAAGAATATACCACGAGCAGAGATACATAGACAAATATAAATTTAAATACTGACTTCCACGATTGTGGATATATATTGTGTATTGATTTGTTCGTAGTCTGGAACCCTTATGATTGAAATCTCTATATCCCTTGATTGTTTCATTTATTTATATTATGTCCAAATGTGTTCAGTCCAAAGTTATGTTTGTATCCATACTTTGTATCTATTCAGTACATTAGTTTATTTTGATTCTTCATATTCTGTTCAAATATGTCCAGTTTAAACTTATATTCTTATCTGTATCTAGTACTCATTTCAATAGATTGATTGTTTTTATTCATTTATATTCTTTTCAAATGTAGCTATTTTGAATTTATATCTCAATACTTAATTTAATGCATGAATCTCATTAAATGTCAGATTCAGTATTCTCATTCCTTACACACAGGCAGATCATTTTGCCTCGTGAGATGTATTTTATTTGTTCACTGTTCATTTCTATATGCACATGTATATTTACTGTAAACAATCTTAAGAAAATGAATAAATACATATTATCATTATGTATGATATCACCATGAATATCGATTTTTCACTGAAGCAAATAGAAATTTGCTTATAGGTACTAAAAATACGTCGCAATGCATTTCACTGTTCATTTTGGAAAATATCAAACATTGACGCCATTTCTTGTTTAGAAAATATTCAAACGATGAAGTAAAATATTCGAAATTGTACATCAAACAAACCACGTGTCCGGCTTGCATGGAAAAATGGAAAACGCCCTTGCCGCCTCCCAAAACTCCCAAAGTGAACAACGCAAAAGTCATCCCCGCCATTTGCAACCAACTGGTCAAGACCGACAGCAAAGTCAGGGTGCAAGAGCTGATCCATAAGGAGAAAAATGTCCTAGAGACGTACGACAGGAAATTTTCTTCGAGCATGGAATCTTCTAGAAGGAACAGCAAGAAGAATGATTCGGCTGACGATTCGCCTGAATACGTCAAGGTGAATCCTCTGGAGCTCGCTAGGATCAAGCAGGAAGAAAGGGAGAAGGAAACCGGAAAGAAACTGGAGAAATTTCTCAAATCACCAATATAATTTTGGTGAGGCTATTTGTATAACAGTAATAAATGGCAAGTTTTGGACTAGTTCATTTTTATTTGGGGTAAAGGAACCACAGAAAAAAGTTCTTTTTATCAGCTAGTGAAGTATTCGATGTTGCGAGTTAGGTCCGTTGTTTTTTAGTCTAATCAACAAGTTAAAAAACATGAAAAATAGAAATAAAGGTCCTGAAAATATGAGCGGTAGCTCATTCGATTCGGAATCACCTCTTTTGCCTACGCCCATGGACGACAACGAAATTCAGGCAAATTTTATGACACTTCATGATTTATTACTCTACACTCTTTTGAAATAGACTATAATATAGATTCTCAAATCAAGTGAAAATTTCATGTGGATACGTTAGCTGCAACTTATGTGATCCATCTGGCAACTTCCACCAAATGGATAAATATGAAAGGCAGAATTTAACTTGATTTTTTCATTTCTATGAATTTCAATAACAATCTGGCATATGTAGTCACATAGAAAAAATTTAATTACATATTTGGTAATGAAAAATAGTTCTCATGGTTGATCAAAGCGTCCACAGTTTTTAAGACTTTTTTGCATGACGTAACTTATATTTGTATGGAAATAGAGAAACTAAGGTCAATAACGTGGATAATCCACCTCAAGTAATCAGGGTTTATATTCAATATTTTCATGTCTCTTCTGCTCTGGTTAGTATGGTTGATGAAAATTGTGGTTCTGATGATCGTTCCCCAGATATACAGGGTGTTTATTAAACATGCGGCAAAAATTAAGGATATTTTGTCTTTTCATGATTTTTGTTTTGAAGATACGGGGCGAAAAAATATTTCGACAATAACAATTTATAACCAAAAATTACATGTAATGTTTCTTAATCTACAAGAACTGTTGAAAATGACTACTCCCCGCTCGGAAGCAAGAATCCAATCTTCTCCTCATCGACCCCCGAACTCTTTCAAAAACACCAGGATCGTTTCTGATTGCGTTACACCCAGCAATTACTAGATTTCTCAAATCTTCCACATCTTCAACTGAAGTATTATAAACTTATGACTTTAGGTGGCCCCATAGGAGATAATCCGCAGGGTTTAAGTCCGGTGATCGAGCAGACCACCATAAGTGAGGTCCACCTTGACCACTTCAGCGATCTTCGTATGATACTGTTAAAAATGCGCTGGTGCACCATAATGCATAAACCACATCGCATTTCTTGTAACCAATGGAGCATCCTCCAGAAACTGAAGTAAGGTTTACCCCGCCGGTAAGTCTTCCTGGCAGAAATACCGGTCCAATTAGGAAGTCATCTACAATTCCCACCCAAACGTTCAACTAGAACTGATGTTGAAAGCACCACATGTAGATTTTCTTCAGCCCAAACATGGTTATTGTTGGAAATTTCTTATGGCATTCCTTGAGTAACTGGCTTCATTGGTTAAAAGAATAAGCGTCAGTAGTTGAGGGATTTGACCCAATATGCGCAAAAGCCATTGACAGAATGCTATACGTGTAAGAAAATCTTCAGGAAGAAGTGCCTGAACTTGTTGTATGTGTTATGGGTACAACAAATAGTCTCTAGAATGTTCCAAATCCTCCGGTTATTTACATTTAAATTATTTGCAATTTTTCGAGTAGAGGTACCTGAATCTTCTTCTATCATGGCCAGCACATTATATATCTTCTACTTCTACCGTTCAGACTGTCATTAGCCTTCCTGGTCCTCCTTTTCGCTTCAATGCTCCTGTCTCACGAAGTCGTTGATGTATACTTTGGAAGGTTTTTCTATTAGGCACATTACGATTAGGAAATCGTTCGCTGTACAACCGCCTAGCCTTCGATGAATTGCCATCAGCAAGTCTATAAATGAAATGCATGTCAGCCATCTCTGCGTTACTATAGCTATTCATGAGGACTTCATTAACAAGACTTAAAATATTAAACGCAGAAATTGCAAGTATCAATGAATGATAATAGAGAAACTCACATGCTTCAAAAGTACAAGAAATATCGACTCATCTTTTTAGATTTTAATTCTCGAAATGCTGCTTTCTACAATAATGAAAAATAACATAATTTAATGCTGAACTGCATGTTTTTTTACTAAGTCGTCGGGAGATCATTCATAATTGGCAGAACACTTATGAAATTGTTCGCAGACATGGCTCCAGTACAGTGAAGAAGGCAATTTTTTAAAGTTCCGATCGAGAGCAATTGATTCCGACCATTGTCTGTTGCAGCTTTCCAACTGCATTCGAACAATTATAATAACCTCGAAGTACTTTTTGTCGTTGAAAAAAAACCGGTCCATAAAACGACCGAGCTTCTTTATGAATTATTAAAGATCTTTCAATCGACCATGACAATGACAATAAACAAAAACGAGACTGGTTACGTTGTTTGTATTGTTATTCAATGTTGCGGAGGAAATTCTCTGACACACATGTCTTTCTATGGCGATCGAGAGGAAACGGTGTATCGTAAGCTGCGTGGTTAATGGTGTCCATCCGCAGTTCTTGTTTCAGAAGCCACATCGACTTGGGTATTACGAGGGCTAGACGCAAAATTCGCGACCCGTAGTCTGAGGCTGTGTTTGGTGGTAGTCTCTAATTTCACATTTTTTAGACCTTAGCGTGCGTTTTTCAGACGACACAATTTAATTCTTTTGATGTGTAGTAGGGGTAGGCTTAAGTTCAAAGTTTGTGAGGTCGCAACTCTCGTCTTCCGGTCGTCATCTTGGAAACGGGTCCATCAATCAATATACTATATTTTCCAAAAAAAGATGTTATTATTGACAAAGCATCATATAATCTAAGTGAGTACATAATTAAATTTGACAAATAGTATTCCTTATAACACAGTTGACACATACAAAAAATTTCACAACACAAAAAGTGAGCATCATCGTGAAAATATTCTCATTTACATAGCTTATTATAGTCTTAAATGAATATATGTATAATTAAATTTGTGAATAGTATTCTAGTACATAAAACAAGATGACAAATACAAACATTTATCACAATACAAGAAGGTTTGTATCATCGTAAAACTCCTGTAGGGTACAATAGGATTTGAGCAGAAGTTTTTTTTTTAAACTTTTTCCAAAAATATAGTGTATGGAGATTTGTCTCAAACAGAGTGGCAAATAGTTATACAGGGCTTTTCATAATGAGCGTTAATTAGCCGTTTCTGGCAAACTATTCAACGGATCAACCTGAAAATTCCACAGTATGCATAAGTCAATATGACCTACACGCCTAAAATATTTTAGACGAAGCCGCGTTGTCGCTTCTACTATAAAGTAGCGGCT